CGGCGTCCCGGCGGTTGGCAGCCGGGCTCGGCCGTCTCCCCTCCCGCCTCCCGCGAGGACTCCCGCGGTCCCAGCCCCGGGGCTCTGCCGGGGGTGAGGGGAGGACCGGACGGCGCTAGGCAACTCCGGAAAAAAGTTTTCAGGAGTCCGCCGCGGCGCTGTGCCGGTCGCCGAGGCCGCCGAACCCCGCCTCCCACGCGGGCCGAGTCCCCCCCGGGGCTGCCGGCCCGCTCACCCATGCGCTCCCGCAGCCCCCGTAAGGATGTGCTGCCGCCGCCGCCGGCGACACCGCGGTCCGCCATCTTCCGAGCCGCGCTGGGAACCCCCGGCCGCTCTGGGGCCGCAGTGCGCAGGCGCTACGGCAAGCTCCTCCGGGCCGGGGCTGGGACCCCGGGGGGCGGGGCGAGGCGGGGCCCGAAGGCCTGCGCGCTGCTTTCGGACCTTCAGCCCGGGTACCGGGGCTCTTCCCTCTCTGCTGCGCCTGCCGGGTAGAGACTAACTTACCTAAAGAAACCTTCTCCCTTGTTCTGTGTTCTACCTGTACATCCTGAGCGCCAGCCAATCAGCAGCCTGCTTGGCCATCCAGCATTCCTTTCTCCCTTTATCCCTCTACCTAGCAACTTAGTAACATTCCATCCTTCCTCCACAAATCCATTCAGTTAAGGAGCATTTCTGAGGTGCTTTCTGTGTGCATTTGTGCCATGAGTTTGTTAATGTTTGAAACACTACACAAAGAAAGATCCTAGTTGAGGGAAAAGACCCAAGGAGAGGCTGGGAGGGATACAGGTTGCTGTGAGGTGTTAGGGTTGTCATTCACAGGCAGGGACTTTCTTATATGGTTGCACAACAAATTGTGACACTGTTGATGGAGACCGCTATGGAACAGCTCTGGACAGGATTTAATATTAACCAATTGGCATTCCATGTTTACTTGGGAGTTGTCCGAGGTTTGGGCCCTTGTCCTTTGATGGGCAGTGGACTCATAGTAAGTGAAACTCTATGAGTCAGTCACTGGTCCCTGCTGAGGCCTGTATTGGCCTGTGAAGTTGGGACGCCTCAAAGGACAAGATAAGGTCACAGCTGAGGATGTCTGGCTCCAACCCGCATTAGCTAAGAGGAGACTGTAGCTGCAGGCATCTCACTCGTGCAGTGAAGGCCTTCCTGGAGATAACATAGTTCCCTTAAATTAGCATAAATATTACATGGAGATGGGTTTCCCAAGTCCTGCCCAGATTCATGCATTTTCTTCAGTATCTCCTGCTTTTATTTGAAAACCTAATAAATATCGGCTGCTCAGGGAAGTCTTGGTCAACCCAGAGAATCTTGAAATCTGTGACAGGGTTGAACCCTCCTGGAGCCTTGAAATCATTTCATTTCTCTCATTTATTTAAGCCTTCACCGTCCACTCATTTGGGAGATTTTGAGCCTGGTGAGCCCTCAATAACTAAGGGGTACTATTAACGTAATAATTGTTAGGTCTCAAAGTTGAGTAGAAAATCATTAGGATGTTTGTGGGCTTTTAAGGTGAGGGAGGGGACTTAGCATGAATTTCTCCAGATTTGGGAAGACACCCTTAAAAATTGCCAAGTGTTTTTCCCATCTAAAACATTGGCCCGAGGTATATCATTGCATGCGCACTTGTCTGCACAGGTGGAGTCACCCTGGTTAGTAATGTGTGTTACAGCGAAAGGTTGTCATGGTTGGGGTTCCAGGAGACCTCAAAATGGGGCAGGAGATGACTTGTGGGATGAACACTTTAATGAGCCCACTAAGTTGTCAAAATGACATGGGAGCTATAAAATGAAGCTGATAATAATAGCAGACACTGGTTACTATGTGCCAGGTACTGTTCTGACTGCACTACATTTAGTCTCCCCATTATGCTAAGAAGGGTGTGCCATTATCACCCCCACTTTAGAGCTGAGGAAATTAAAGCAGAGAGACCATTTAAACTGTTTGTCTAGAGGCATACAATAAGTGGCAGAATTGGAATTTGAACCCAAAACATCCAGCTTTGGTATTCATGTGATTAACCTTATGTCATACTGTTTCATAAGAGTTGAGACCTAGAAAATTTATTAATGATTAGTATCCAGAATGTATAGAGTTCTAAAACTACATAAGAAAAAGAACCTCTGAAAGGTGGGCAAAAAGCATAAACGGACCTGTCACAGGAAAGAAAACACATATAAGCATATAAACTTTTTAGTAGCCAGGACAAAGGAAAAACACTACAAGATATGTTGCATCTATAGAAGTAGCACATTTAAACAAATCTCAGCTGTGGCACGTTCTGCAAAACAAGTGGCCTGGATACTTCAAAATGCTGTCTTGAAAGACTGAAAAATCAAAGAAATCTAGATTAGGTGAGGCAAGAAAGATCACATGCAATGCGTGATCCTTGATTAGATCCTGGATTGAAAAATAGCTGTCAAGGGCATTCGTTATTGGAACAGTTGGGAAATTTTGAATATGAACTCTATATATTGTACCAAAGTCACAATTTTGGAGTATAAGAATGACATTTTAGTTATATAAGAAAATATCCTTTTTCTTAAATACTGAAGAAATGAGAGGTGAACCCACATAATGTCTGAAACATATCAGCGAGTAGTTCACAGGAGAAACAGATAAGAGAAAATACTACAGAATGTTAAAATCTAGACAGTTACATGAAGTTCATTTTGCTATTGTTCCAGCAGTTCTGTGGTGGATATTTTTGTAGTATAGGAAGTTTGTCTTCAGCTTACTTGTAAATACCACCACTTTGAAAATAAGACTTTCTTAGGAATTGCATATAGAGAGAAACTTACATAATCTTTTCAGCATTTAGGGCCTTTAAAGGCCCTTAGTTTAGTAGTCAACAAGGGTGTGTGTGTGGCGGGGGGTAGATAAGGCATCCACAAATGACCAAAAGTAGGCAGCAAGTGTGAGGAGCTGGTGAGGAATTTCAATGGCTTCTAAGAGCTTAGAGAGATGAGAAGTCGGTCCTGTTTGGGGCTTCAGTATCAGAAAAACTGGCATTTATTGTGGGCCTGAGGTGGGAACTAAGGGAATCAGATGGACCCATCTTCCCACTCATTGACCATGGGGCCAGATCCCCCCATTTTTCAAAATAAACTGGAAAAAAAAAAGAAAAGAAAAAAGAGAGAGAGAAAAAAGAAAAAAAACACTGGAAGCCAGATGTGGTGGTGCACGCCTGTAATTCTAGCACTCGGGAGGCTGAGGCAGGAGGATTTTTGTGAATTCAAGACCAACCTGGGCTACAAAGTGAGCTCAAGGCTAGCCTGAACTGCATAAAGAGACTCTGTCTCAAAAAAAAAAAAAAAAAAAAAAAAAAACCTGGAAATTCTGGCTTTTAATGTCAGATCTCTTATATTAAAGGGATGAGAGCATTTAAAGTTTAAATAAAATACTGAGCAGGGTAAATACACCTATCAAATATGCAACCAGTGTCCAAACTTTCTCATTGTTTCATATTTAATATTTGAATAAAGATCCTAGCAAGGTCCATACATTACCTTAATATGCTTTTTAAATGTCTTTAAATCTATAGATAGCTCTTCTTTCTGTAACATCTTTGATAGACTGTGAAATTTAGCATTCACACATTCAGGAGGTAAGTCATTCGGTTAAATTTTTACAACCACCTTCTCTGTGCTTGACAGAGATCATGAGAGAGAAGGAATCCCTGTCCTCCAGACCTGCAACCCTCAGTGACTCGAAGCTACAATTCATATTAGTGTAGTCTTAGAAGTTTCCTTGGGGCTAGAGCAGCTCCCTAAGAGCCCTCACCAGACTGAGCATTTCATGGGGAATACTGGAGCTGACGGCTGCCAGCTTGGAGACAGTGGAAGCTATCTGGGAGTCAAAACAGGCTCCTGGGAAAGAACCCAGGCAGCTCCTTTCCTCCTTGCATTTGGGAAGCGTATGTTCCCCAGTGAGCAGAAGAGGAATGCCCATCTTTTCCTCTTCTACTTTTTTGCCTTAAACCTTACACCAGCAGTACTTGACACATTTTTCTATTAAAAGATGAAACTTTAAAAAATCAATTTCACATTTACTGTGCACTCAGAGAACTTAACCAAGTCTAATAAATTTGCATTTACATTGCTAAGTTTTAAGCTTTCCAGCCATGTGGTGGTTCTTTCTCTATATCCTAGACTACCTATTAGAGTCATCCATCGTACCCACGGTTGAGATAGGGCTCTGGCTTTGTGTTCTTTCTGCTTTCATTTCCGAGTCTTGCCCTGTATCTGTTGCAGCCTGGCTGTGATGCTTCCTTCTGGAATCATCTCTTGCCACTTTCCTGCCCTTCCCCAAATCTGCACTTTCTTGCCTCCTATGATACAGACTTATCTGGTCATTTCATTTCTCACGTGGTTGATGGCAGCCTTCTTAGCTCTGGAATTCCCACTCAACTGCACCAGCCCTCTAGCCTCCAACTGGTCCTCCCTCATTCTCTAATTTCAGCAGGTTGTTCTGTACCATCTTCTTTTAGGGAGTTCCCAGTCTTTCCTAGGGTGGGGATGGGGAGTTGATTTTCATTGCCTGACCTCATCAGGGTGGGGACAGTGAACTTGGGAGGAAGAAGAGACCACCCCTGAGGACATTTCTTTCCACACGGGAAATTCAGATAAAGCTCAGAAAGAAAGAATGTGGCCATGGTGGCAGGAGTATGTAAGTTTTGGATACTTACTGGTAGATAGAAAGAGCCGTTACTTGTCAAGTGGCTAAATGGTGGGCCAGTGATAAAGGATTGGCATAGATTATTTCATGTAATCCTCCTTACAACCCTATGAGCAGCTTCTGTTCTTATCCCTATTTTACAGATGTGAAAGCAAGGTGATGACAACTAGATCAAGGATAGCTCAGCCAGGAAGTGGCAGTCTGGATTCAACCTCACCTCTATCTGATTGCCAGGGGTCATACTCTTTCAATTATGCATCTCAATTTCCCAGTTGATAAGCTCTAGCATATTCTAAAGTCCTAACTAATGGCTTCCACTACTTCCTTTATCCCATCTTCGCACTCTGATTACTGAACCTTTTCAAAGTTGCACTTTCTCATTGGTAAGGTCTTACCACACTGACATCTCCCCTCCCAAGCATCAGCACAATTGTCACTTAAGTTTTTAATGGAACCAACCACTCAAATTACTGAGTAAGAAACTATCAAAAGTGGAAGTTTAGGGACTGGGAATATAGCTCAGTGGCATAAATGCAGGCCTGGCAAGCACAAGGTCCTGAGTTCAATTCCTGGTACCTCCCAAATAAATAAATAAATAAATAAATAAATGAAAGTGCAAGTTTAATATAGGTCTGGCAATGGAGATAGACAGATATGACTACTAAGCAGC